CAATTTCCTTGATGCCATCATCAAGGTTAAGGCCAATTTTTCCAATGGTAAGTACCTGATTTCCGCGCCCAGCAATGTCTTGCTGACATAAAAGATAGGCAGATGTTGGATTCCTTCCGCTCGGACCAACACTGCGCTGATTGCGTGCTATGAAACTGCCAGGTACAAAAATAGTTCTTCTCAAAGTATTGGGGTTACTAGTAGTGGTGGAGAAGACATGTATTCTTTTAAACTTTCTAGGGCGCGGTCGCATTCTTCGTCCTACTCAAACTTGTCCTTTAAAGCTTGAAAAAATGGTTGACATCTGTCTGACGACCGACTTATGAACCGGTTTAGCGCGGCTGCTATACCAGTGAGATGTTGTACTTCTTTTACTGAGTTGGGCCTCTCTAGATCCTGAATTGCTTTGATCTGAGAGGGGTCTGCCTCAATACCACAGTTGGTCACCAGGAAGCCTAGGAATTTGCCAGATCCTACGCCGAACGCACACTTGGATGCATTAAGGCGTAGCTTGTGCTTTTTCAGGATCTGAAACATCTCGCCTAGGTCCCTGAGATAGTCATTCTTATCCTTTCTCTTGACCACCATGTCGTCGATGTAGGCTTCCATTGTTCTGCCTAACAATGGTTCAAACATCTTGGTGACCATCCGTTGGAATGTTGCCCCTGCGTTCTTAAGGCCAAAGGGCATGACCTTGTAACAATATAGTCCTCTTGGCATTGTAAAAGATGTGACCTCCTGGTCTGGCTCATATATGGTGATCTGATGGTAACCTCTGTACGCATCAAGAAAGCTAAGACAGTTGTGTCCTGCCGTCAGACCTACTAGTTGGTCTATTCGTGGAAGAGGAAAGCTGTCTTTTGGGCATGCTTTGTTGACCGTTTTGTAGTCCACACAGACATGCCATTTTCTATTCTTCTTAGGTACCACTACTGTATTGGAGATCCATCTGGGGTAGTGCACCTCTCGGATAGCTCCCGTTTCTAGCAGGTTTTCTACTTCTTCCGCCACTATCTCGGCATGGTGGAGTGCCGATCTGCGAGTGCGCTGTATAATTGGTCTGACAGTTTGGTAGATATTTAATTGGTGACAGATGAAGCTTGGGTCAATGCCAGGCATGTTATACGGCGTCCAGGAAAACACTTCGATGTTAGAGGTCAAGAATTCCATGACCTCTATTCTCTCAATGCTGGACATAGATGAGCCAAGCAAAAAGAACTTATCCGGGTTCTTTTCATCTATTCTTACCTGTACCAAGTCCTCTACTGCCTTCTGTTCAACGGCTTTGCCAACATCCGCAAACAATTAATTACTCTCGGGTTCTTCCACCATCTGAACAAACCCTTTGGCAACTCGGTTGCCATTTACTGTGACGAAGCATTACTTGGACATAATTTGGTCTCCATAGACCTCTTTAATTACTCCGGCTTCGTTGGGGAACCGCATTACTTGATGGTAGGTTGATGCTACCGATCGCATGGCGTGCAGCATGTCCTCCCCAAGATTATGTTGTAAGTGGATGGGACTTTCAATACCTAGAATTTCACTTGTTTCGTCATGTTTCCTGCTCTGACTGGGAGGATTATCTTGCCAATTGGCCACTCTGGCATTGAATTGAATCCGATCAGGGGAGATACGGCAGGTGCCAAGTCTTTGTCCTCCAGCTTCAACTGTTTAAAGGTTTTGTAATACATTATCTCACATGAGCTCCCTTGGTCAATCAAAACTCGCTTGACGTTGTAATACTTGATGCGAAGAGTGACGACTAGTGCATCATTGTGAGGGCAATATATCCTTGCCAAGTCTCTGTCTGAAAAAGACATGACGTTTGTGGCCTCTGTTTTCCCCTTTTAATGGTGGGTTGTGCACTTAATACCTCCCTTAAGTGCTCAGCCTTCTTTATCATGCCCTTGAGCTCACATACTCACTTAGGTTTGTATACCCCATGTATTACGTTTATCACGCCTTGAGGTGGGGCGTCGATCGGCGTTCTTTTTGGGTGATCGTGGTTCTGGGGGGCTGGCTATGTCCCTTCTTCTATGTATCGATCCAGGTGCCCTGCTGCCACTAATTCCTCTAGATGCTGTCTTAATGGCGTGCAATTTTCAGTGCGGTGCCCCTTTTCCTTATGAAAGGTGCACCTGGATCTTTTGTCGTAGTCCTTTTGTGCTTCTCCCAGCTTGGCTGGCTATCTGACGAAAGGTTCATCACGTATCTCGCTGAGAACTCGGTAGATTGGTTTCTTGAATACTGCGGTAATGGCAGTGCGGATTCCCAACCATCTTTTATCTCGGTCCTCTTCGTTATCTCGCCTGCCTCGTCCATTCTTGCTTGGACGTTCTACCGTGTTCACCTTTGCCGTAGTCTTCTTATCTGGCGCTGCTGTTGCACTAGATTTTGCCTTACTACGGGCGCCATCTTCCTCTACCCGAATATGTTGGTGTACTCTCTCCATCAAGGCTTCCATCGTGAGGGGTGGAGTCATAGTAATTGAATCTCTCAATCTGTTTCTAACTGAAAGTCCTCTTTTGTATTATACGATGGCGAGATTGGTGGGGCAGTCCCCTATCTGGTTGAACGTCTCCCAGTAGCGACTGCTGTAGGATCTCAATGTTTCCTTGTTGCCCATGTCAATGGAGAGTAGCTGATCGATCTCCACTGGGGTCTTGGTGTTCGTTCTGAACCTTGTCACGAATGCCTCTACCAATTATGCCCAGGAGGCTATGCTGCCTTCTGGTAGCCTTTCGAACCAGGTTAAACCTAGGTCGCCAAGGCTGGATGGGAATAGGATGCATATCAAAGCCTCGTTCCGCTGGTATACTGCCATGACCTGACAAAAGTGGCTTAGGTGCATGTAGGTGTCTATCTTTCCCTCGTATGTCATAAATTTAGGCTGGATGAAGCCTGAAGGTAATGGTGCGTTCTCAATCGCAGGAACGAACGACGAGCTATGTAGCCTTGCCAATGCTTTATCTATTGGTTCGTAGGCAAGGTGCGGTATTGGCATTCCTACCTCGATGCTTCTGTGCGTCCGAGGAACCAACCGCTGAAGGGCTGAAATTCTATGCGGGTCGCGTGCCCTATCATCCTCCTTCCATCGTGCTCTCTCTTCAAGCACAGTCCGTAAGTCGGACGATCTAGGCAACTCTGTTTGCCTGGATGATGTCTGGTGCCTATGTGAGGGCCGATAAGTGCTTCCCTCAGTGTAAGACCTCAATGATCTCGTTCTTTCAGACCTGGAGTAACGAGTTTTGGAAGTCCTTAATTGAGTATCGCCTGTTCTGAGGCTCTTACTCTCTGCTTGCGATGGCGTGGTATGCCTTCCACAATCTTCAGAGTGGCGAAGGGGCGTATTGCTTTTGCGCCCCTCTCTTGTCGTCGCCCCTTTTCCCTTGATCTGGCGTTTCATGGCCTCCATGTTCACCGCCATCTTCCTTATTAGTTCATCTTGCTCTTTTACGCGATCCTCCAGAGCTTGAGGGTCGATTCTTCGCCTTTGCCTTTCAGGACTTCATGAGCAAGAGCGGCGAGGGCTGTTGTTCTGCCTTTCCCTTGCATCCCTCCGGGATTCTGTCGCTGGGGCTCTAAGTTCGCCATGAGAGGGATAAAGGGCAAACCTTCGCGCCTCCCACCTCCCTCTGGAGTTTCCCCGTCAATGGCGGATTGCGGCAAATCTTTATTGTGCGCCATTGCGTCTAATTTAGCGAGGAAAGCTTGATCAAGAGGTTTTGTTCTTTGTTTGATAGTTCCCATAGACGGCGCCAATTGTACGGGAAAGAAATAAACCTTCTCGTATAATCCTGTTGATCAAGTCTGCGCTCCTTCGTACGACGTCGCTTTATTCCCTGAAAACACAAACGTGAACTAGCCGGCGGGTGTGTGCCGGATACCTCTCAGATGCCTAAGTCAGCAAAATAGACAAATAGACAAAAAGCTCTGTGTATTCGGGAATCAAAGTTGTGTTACCTCTCCATAGGTGATGTTATGAGCTTTTATAGGTTCCGTGTGGCATAATCCTAGTAGAACTCTTACTCCTCCATGTAGAGTCCTCCTAGGAATCACATTCCTGAAAGATAATGTTTATCCTTCAACACCCCCTTACTGCTTAAACCAAGTGACATGGTTTTACCATGGTTGGATGTCGATACGACCGAGATAACATGGCCATGCTAAAACCGCAGACTAGACCGAGTTCCCATTAGCTCGGTTCTTCCTTTCACTGCGTGTACCTTGGTTTGACATATTCCGACTGGGTTGTCTGAGACCGCACTAACCACAACAAGTTTGGACCGAGCTAACCAATAGCAAGGTCTTGAAGAAACCTCAACATACTTCGGCTCAATATGGTATGACCGAGCTAACTGCTGCTCTGAGTGTGGTGACCGAGCTAACGGCAGAGCTCTGTTTCATCGAGTTAACCCTTGCTAGGTCACTTCCATACCTGGACCGAGCTAACTCCTGGACTACGGTCCACTTACTAAGCCCTTCTCACTATGGCCCATAGAACGGCCCATTACCCAACTCGGCCCAATTTACTCATAAATTACCCTCTCATTCAACCCAAATTCTCACCCATTTAAAATGAGGTACACTAACCCTTCCTATCTTAACCTATCTAGCCTATTGTTTTACATTAGAATTTTTTAAAACTAAAAAAATATGAATATTGATTGTAAAATTGCTCAAATAATTAAATTTATCAAAATATAATAATATTGCAAATTAGTATAGTTAAAAAGAGGCGCTGAACATGTGGATTTTTTTTAAAATTTTTCTTAGCATGACTATAGGAGCCTTTTTTTTTATTGGAATGGGAATGCTGAATAGAATGGGTTCAAATTGGCCCGATTAGACAGAGCGCTACAACATGTGAAGATCGGCCATTGCTTCTTGAAAACCGGTTTGAATCATAACCTAACTTCAACCCATCAAAAAATATAAATAACAAGAAGTTGATGATCCAAGATTAAAGAACATAACAAATGGGGGTACTCTCAAAATGAAACAAAACAAGAAAAATCCAAGTATATTAATTTGTTTATTTATATTACAACAAAAATACATGGTGTGTCCCTGTCCTAAATGGCACATCTAATCTGCTCAAATGTCAAATATCAGCAGGGAAAAAAAGAATTTATACTCTAAAGTACAATATATCACTAGTAAATAAATACAAAACCTCCCTCACCACAACACATGGGGGTTTCCAAAAGAACTATCTAAAACATAGCAACCCACAAAACATAGTGTCTCTCTCTATGTGATCCATGCTCTCTCTCTATACTACCTGTTGTGACCTAGTACCACCATACCCATTAACTCCATTTTCTCCATTGCTAACATGAGGGTATTTTGGATCCGACCCATTCTTCTTCTTCCTACTCAGTACCACAAACCATGTAAAGGCTTCCAATATACAGGCAATGGAGCCCAAAGCTATGATGATGCCGATGTATGCTCTCTTCCAGCTTTTGCCTGGGTTCAAGATATCAAAGCCCTTAAAGATGTTCATAATGCTTAGGATAATCACGGCGTACCCAACTCCCCAATGGTAGATGTTCCAGTATAATCTGTACTTGTGATCCTTCTTTGGCCTCAAAAGGAGCGCAAAGACCTAAATTTCGTAAACAACAACAATTTTATTTTAGAAAGCTTATATATACCCAGGGGCGGAGGTAGGACTCCTTCATTTTAGGGGTCAGAAGGAAAGTTTGAGGTAGATTACTCGTGGGTGGGTGGTGTATGGGGGACCAAGGATCGTCTGTTTACAAAAATTTCTGTCTCCCATCCCAAATTATTTATAATCATTGGATATGTTTTGAGATTTGTGAATCTTGAGATTCTCATGATTGTGAGTGATTTGAGACAAAAGTACAGGAATTTTTTAGGACAGAAGATTCTTACGGGTGTAACGGGCTAGGGCTAGTTCATTAAATAAGTATTAAAATATTACTCATTGTAGGTCGATTGGCTCGATCAAAAACTATAGGAGACAATATTAGGCACATAAAGGTTCACAAATGGTTAATTCAATTAAAAACTTTTGATCATCACAGAAGGAACCAATCTCTTTTCTCTAGCAGAATTTAATTGCTTTTAGCAAAAGTGTCTTTTTATTTTTTATTTTTTTAATGTGATTTTATACAATTAAATAGACTAATTCTTTGTTTATTGCAAAAGTTTTTTTTTTTAATATGTTATTACTAATAGCTTTTTAATAGGAGATTGGATTAAATTTTTTGAGGCAAATACACAAGGCATTAAATTTTTATGTACAACTCTTATACAGAGCGTTCAAAATATTTAGAGGTATCAAATTGAATTTCAAGGGGCAATTACATGGTTTTTTTTTTTTTTTTTTTTTGTAAATTGAAAAATTACATTTATATAAAAGTGAGCTTTATCAAAATTTTAAAGGGGCCATGACCCCCTTTCCTCTGCCCCTAGCCATACCATGTGCCTGCCGGTGGTGGCGGTATGAGAGTGAAAATTGATGTTAAAGTTGAGAAAACAAAGTGAGCATTGATGGTATACCTGAAGTGTACCAAGGCAGAAGAGAGTGATGCCAATGTTCCTGTGGGTGTTATATTGAATGCCAACTGAATCACTGCCGAGTTTAAGACCGGTCGCCCATCCGGCAACACCAACGATGTAGGCAGCGGACTGGCACGTAACATGTAGGTAAAACCATGCTGGGTCAGCTGACTTGAACGTCTTCAAGTACCTCGCAATTATAGCACCCACCGGCAGCAAGATGCCCCAACTGATTGCATTCAGTATTCCATGAGTCTGCAAGTTTCCATTCAATCAAAATTAAAATCGAACCCATGTTTAGATCAAATTAATATAATTGGGTATGTGATTATGGTAAGTCCCCTGATAGCAACCAACGCAGAATTGTAATCTTAAAAGTTAGATAAGGGTGTTTTTGAAAATATTCTTAATCATAAGGGTATTTTTGAAAGTCCAGGGGCAGGCGCCCCGTTGTCCATGATGCATCTCAAGGGAGATTTTCAAAAATGAGAAGAATATGATTAATTTTATGTTTGCTATAGTAAGGAATCCCCCGTTTAGATCTCTCGTCTCATCTTGTCCAAAGATCCCTCACCAAGATATGATTATGTCAAGAATTTCATTATATGATAGAGAGTTGATTTGAAACAAAGTGACACAAAAGATCCACAAAGAGTCTAATTTGGGGGACTATATATATACTTTCTAGTAAGAATTTTAAACAACTAGAAGAAGACAAATGGGATTTCAAAGCCATCAATGAAAAGGAAGGAATAAGCAAACAAATTCAGGGCTTGCCCAAACAATAAAATATTTAGGACTTGTATTGTTTCATCTTACAGAGAAGAATATATTGGGATTTATGATTAAGGATATTCCTACTAATCATGAAATTAAAAATAAAAAAAAGGTTTCAAATATCGAAATTGAGGGGAAAAAAAAGAAAAAAAAAAAAGAAAAGTGTTATTTCCCATCACACAGTCAATTAAACAGATTCACCGTGTGATAGAGAAGTGATTTATGATAGAAGAGAAATCCAAATAGAACACGGCTCAATTGAGGAGAGAGAGAGAGAGAGAGAAAAGATGACTTACATTTCTCTTTCGCATCTGGGAAGCTACACCTCCACTGTTGGAACTAGTATTCCCAGAAAGAAAATCCACAGTCCCAGTAGATAAAAGGTTATTTCCACTTGGATGCTGACCTGGAGTCCCTCCGGAGACCGGTCCAGCTTGCCAAACCTGGTTAAGACTGGTTCTATTACTTGGAAGCACCAAAGTAGCATATATGAGCATATCACTGCTGACATATTCGACCGACAGGCTCGGCACGCTGAAGCTGAGGGTACTCTCGGCCAACGTCGTACCGTAACCGGAGACCGACGACGTGTAGGCATGTGGTAGGCCACTGGTGTTGTGTAGGGCCACAAGGGCTTGTGACCCAGCCATTCCGGTCCCATTAAGGTTGAGTGCCCAAGCCACCCATGTCGATGTATCGACATTGGTGTGGCGGAAGGCTATGTCGACCGTGCCATTTGTCGGGTGGTAGTTCCAGTGAAGGTAGGAATTTAGGTATGGAAGATCATTGCACTTAGAGTATAGTCTATTGCTTGAAAAAGTGTAGCTTGCACAAGTTTGAGCATAGGCCGAGGCAAATAAAGAGATCAAAAGACATGAAAACAGAGCAATTTTCCAAGATTTGTCCATTGAATCAATACCCAGATTTTCAAAACCTTGGAAAACCAGTTTTTGGTATTTGGGTATGTCCCAAATGATGCAAAAAACTGGGTTCTAAGGTGTTTTGGGAATCTGGGAATCTGGGTATTGGGTGCTTGGTTTGTAAGAAGGTGTTTTGTTTTATAGATTTTTGTGGGGTGGGAAGGAGATGGGAAAGTGGTTGTGTTGGTGATCAGTTTTTTGAGGTTTTGTTGACTGATTCTTTTTGTGGAATGAGTGAATTTGTATGGATACAAAAATAGGTATAAGTCCAATGGAAAGAAATTAATTAATAGGTATGTGATGGAGGCAACCAAGAAGGTTGTTGTCTTGTGGTTGGTTTTTTGTTTTGTTTTGTTATTTATTTAATTATTATTATAACGTGAAGTTTCTCAGCTTTGAAATCACTCTCCTCTCTTTTAAGGTCTTCATACACCAACCACCCTTGATGTGTATTCACACCTAAGTTTCAAAATTTTAAAATTAAAAAAACAGAAAAAAAAGTCTCAATTTTCAACTTAAAAAAGAAATGATAGAAAGCTTACCGTCTAGGTTTGGCAAATGTTTTTTTCTTTTTAGAAGATTTTTATTTATTTAGTGAATTCTTTCAATTTTTGTCACTTATATATATATTAAAAAAAATATAATTTTAAAAGATTTCAAAAAAAGCTAGTAATTGGTTAGTGAACTTTTTTTTTTTTCATTTAAAAATTTTGATTTAATTGTTTAAATTTTAGTTTAGAAGCATCTATAAAGTTCAAATTTAAGCCTCTGTTTGGGAAGTAGGTTGAATTTTTGGTTTTTTAGTTTTTTTGACTATTTTAGCCTATGGCTAAAAAGGCTAGTTTGGGAAGGATCTTTTAGCTTTTTTGACTTTTTGACTTTTTGGTGAGATGTCTTCCTGTTCATTTACCAAAGTGCCCTTCTTGTTGTTGTTGTTTTTTTTCTTTTTTTTTTTTTTTCTTTTTTTCGGTTTGGATTTGGCGTATTTTGCTTAAATTTTTTTATTTTGGGTTTTATTTTGGCGTATTTTGGTAAAATATTTATTTTTTTATTTTTTTTATTTTGAGTTCGGATTTGCCGTATTTTGCTTTATTTTTTTTATTTTTTTTAAATTTATGTTTTAGTCATTTTTATTTTTTTATACATTAATTAGTTCTTATTTTTTAATTTACGTTTTTTGTCTTATTTATTTTTATTGGTATACAATAACATTTTTTTATTTATGTGTTTCATTTATTTGTAAATTACGTGGCGAATGGTAATTTATGTTTTTATGTTTTTTTTATATATTTTTGAATGAGGCGTATTTTTCTCGTTATTTTTTTTTTAATTTACGTTTTTGTCATTTTTTAATTCGTACACATTAATTTGTTTTTATATTTCAAAAATGGGTTTTCATGTGTTTTATTTATTTGTAAATTACATGGCAAATGGTAATTTCTGTTTTTTTTTTTAATCTTTTTGGATGAGGCATATTTTTGTCGTTCGTTTTTTTTTTTCAATTTACTTTTTTGTAATTTTTTAATTCGTACTAAATATTTTTGAATGAGGCGTATTTTATTTAAAATAATTTATGTATTTTAAGTTTTTTTTTTTGCAAATGGTTTTTTCATGTGTTTTTGGAACTAAGATCCTGTTTGTTTTTAGATATTAAGAGTGGAATTTGATTAATAGTAAGGTAAGGCTCACCAAAGTCATGTTTGTTTTGTAAAATTGTCATGAGATTAAGTTTGTATTTGGTTTATGGATTTGAATAAAAAATTAGTAACAAGGAATGAAAAAAAAAAATATATGTGAAAGATGTGTGTATCTTTTTTTCTTTCTCTTTACAAATCTCTATCCAAATTTATAAACCAAATATAGTGTAAAAATCTTATAGAGAATCGGCGATTTCATGAGAGACATGAGTTTGTTAATTCAATCTCATAACATTGAAAGTAAAATGACAATACTGTCCTTATTTTTATAAAAACAATAGAGTTACATTTACGAAAATTTTACTTAAATTTAAAATTTTAATTTTAATTAATTAATACCAAAACACTAATAATTCTTTTATTCAATTTTATCATATAAATAATCTTATCCAACTTAATTTGACAAATAAATAGGGTTTAAGTCTTCTTACTTAGGGCAATTTTGGTAATAGATTAAGGCCAAGTTTGGGAAGTGAAAAAAAAGTCAAAAAGTTAATCAAAATGTTAAAAAGTTATCACTATTCACCAAAAGTAAAAAATTACCGCTGCACAACTCCCAATCTTAATTTTTCCATACACACTAATTTATACAATTTGTTAATACATATTTTTTCATAAAAAATCAAAAAGTTAACCCAAATATTCATATATTTTTTTTCAATTTTATAGTAAAAAAAGATAAAAAGTATACTTATTTAGGACACCCTAAACAATCTCTTAATATAATATTTTATTTTATTGAATTAAAAAATTTATTTTTATTCTTTTATGATTATTTTAGGGAGAAAAAAAAACCCATAATCCTTCCATGTCAAAAAATAGTGACAGTGGGTCAGTACCCCAAAAGTCACGCTGAGGGAACAATGCCAAGAATAGCTTCTTCTCTTTTCAGGGTATTTTGGTAAATTTACCCCCACAAAGGATTGAACCCAACACATTGATTTCTGTTTTGTCTGGACGTGGCTAAATAAGCCTAATTTGTCCGGATGTGACTAAAATAGCCTCAGTTATGCTTCCCAAACGGTGCCTAAACCATTTTTGAAAGTTTACTAAGAAAATTGTTATAAAATAATTTAAAAACAGTTATCAAACAAAAAGTATGATGTTCCCTATTTGTTTCAAGTCTAAGAAATTAAAAGGAACATCTAATCATAATAAATAAATAATTAAAAATAAATCTTCTGATTATGACTTTTCATCACCGTTTTTTGTGGTGTTTCGGTTCAAAGATGCTTTGCTAATAGTAGTCACTTTTTTTATTCTTGAATTCTCATATTTTTAGTTACGTAAATTACATCACAGCGCTCTTTAATTTTACACATAATATTTTTCTATTCAAAATATTAAAGATGAATGTAGAATAACAACATCGTAACAAAATTGATAATATGAGATTTAAATTGTTCAAATTAAAATTACTGGACTTAAAATATCGGACTAATAGTGTAATTTATCCTTTGTATAAAATTTTTTATTCACAAAATTTTATCTTGTCACTAAATTTCAATTCTACTCCTATCTCATCCCTAATCTTTCAATTTTAACCTTAATCCTAAACCTTCAACCACCTCCCCAGCCGAAGCCACCTTGAAGACCAACTCCTCAAATCTAAGCCTGCAGTAACAAATTGGGAAAATTATTCAATATTCTTGAAGTACCAAGTGTCTGTACTCCTTAACCAATCATTATTCAATAGGTCTATCCATGTCTTCAATCACCCAACTCAATACCTTGCTTACCCACTTTTTTCATTAATCATAATATTATAGAATACCATGTGTTCATGTTCCGAGATTACTAAAAATTATAGGAGGGAGAGTACAATAACGTGTTGTTGACTAAAGTGTGAGACAATAAATATCACTAGCAAAACTCAGGTTTATTTTGATAATAATTTAAAATAGGTAAAAAATTAAAAAATATCTATCCAAAAAATTAATTTTTCAATTTTTTTATATGTCTTCATATAAATAAAAAAAATAACTAAAATAACTAGTTGGCAAAACAAGTTGGATTTGTAGTAGAGGGAGGTAGGGAGCCTGGTTATGGAAATTGGAAAGTGGTGTATTTGGACGTTTTTGGGGTTTATGGGTGTGGGTGGAGACATATTCACATTGAATCATGGTTCACCTTTTCAATTACGTCCTATGCCCAAACTTCACCTATCTTACCTTGACCCACTCACCCCTGACCTAATGCTTTTTACCAGTTCAGACGGTGGCGTGTGTGTTGCGTGTTCTATTTTCAGCAAATAATATAGTGAGTATCATCTGATTTGAAATGGTTTATGATGAAATTTTATCTATAGTTTTATTAAAGTTGGAATTAAATCAAATCATTAAAATTATAGAATCAATTTAAATTAAATTATTTAAACATTGTTTGATTTTATTTGGAATCATAGATCATATAATCGGCCTATAAAAAAAAATCATATAACATTTTAAAAAAAAAAATTTATCATAAATTTTAAAAATAGTAATAATATGTTCATCAAATAAAGTACTTTTATTATATTCACCAGTTAAACAAAAATAGTAAATATTGTTCAACATTTATCTGTCATAATTTTTCAAAACATAAACATTCACATTTTTCTACCATCAACTTAAACAAACATAATATCTACACATATATGATTTAATTTATACGGTCCAATTCAGTTTAAATTAAGAATCATAAACCTAAATCCGAAACTAATTCACAGAGTAATTTTCTAATTTTTCAAATTAAGATCGAATCACGAATTAAAAAAATAAAGCTAAATTTACCGAATTGGTATGAACTGATTCGATTTGTAAATTTTTCTTAGCCCCCAGCTAATAATCTCCTCTCTCTTCTTTCTCTCTCCTGTGTGTACGACTACGTGGCAAAGTTGACTGGCTTCGGCGTTTGGTGGCGTAGCGGGCCACCGTATGCTGCGTACGTTTTTCAACACGACCTTGTCACGGCGACGCGGCTCCGCTCAGGTCAAGTCACACTTCCACATACGGTGGTGGCCCCCCCATACGGTGTTGACGGTTCTACCATATAATGGGCAAAAACTTATTGTGTAACATGGTAGAAAGTCACAAAGATCAAGCGGACAAATTTTTTTCCCACTAACCTAATATTGTTGTGGTATTTACTATAATTAAGATTGTTTACTAGATAATGATATTGTTATATGATATTACAATTATATCCAATATTTATTCCATGATGAGGTGACAAAAAAATATTTGGGCCTATATTATAAGCAATGTAAGAGCAAGAAAAAAATAGATACTAACTTATTGGGACTAATCCAAATAAGACTTACAATGGGTCTAACTCAAACAAATATCACACCCTCCATCTATATAGAGAGCATCCCAAGTGGAGGGATGTCTTATCTCTCTTTACAGAACACATGCAACCCTTCATTTTTACTGCTTCTTTCCTTAATTCAATAACTAACTTCATCATTAGAGTGTCTCTGCCCGACAATTCCGATTCGGTGGCGCCGACTATGTTCATCATTGCAGATCTACAGGTGTGAAGCTTTTCTCTT